GACACCACTGTGACCGCAGGGTCGGCACCTCTTTGGCGCCCTGTCAGGATGACACCACTGTGTCTTGTAGTAGACACAGAAAAATTTTATTGGCCGTTTATTTGGTTACGCGAACGGTCGCGTTATGGACTTCTAGTTCCGGGATGGAGGCGTACCGAGAGAACCAGAGGAATTACACTTTAACTCATCTAGACGTAATACCCGTTTATTGTTCATACTATATACAATCGCAATAGCTATATATAATTGGGTTAATTAACATATCTAAGTTTTTTCGGTTACCCGTATTCCTGAGAGAGAGAGCTCACATATATTTCGCGCGAGGATAAATACCTTGGTTTGAATCGTTGATTAGTCTTGGGTTGAATCGTTGATTTGTCTTCACAAAGTTCTTTCGAACGTTGATACGTTTTTCAAGTAGCACAAAGTTCTTCCTAACGTTGTCGGGCGTAGTCCTTTCGAACAGCGGCGATTAGATGAGTTCCTGGTAGCGACTTATCCGTTTTTGTAAAAAACACAGTGCGCACAAATTTCCAGAGACTGACTCTTACGTATCGACCCCTCCTTTTTATAAAGGGGGTCTCGTTGGGTTTTTTCCACTGCCTTATTAGGACTGTTCTTTTTTCTTTGACCAATAGTCTTTTTCGAGATTTCGGGTGACACATTCGATGTATCATGCTTGACAAGGAACTAAGTTCGTGGGAAAAGATTTTTATGTCTTTTTTTTATGGCAATTTGAAGTTAAATTTTTTTGTCTTTTCCTCCCTTAACAAAAATTTTATTTAACGAATTTATTCACTAAACTCGACTCTCACAAGTTCTATGAAACGTATTTGGACAAGGATAAATATCCTGCGTTTTACAAACATGCTCTGTCGATGGTTTCGCTATTTGGAAACACTTATGCGTGTGAACAACTGTTTAGTCACATGAAGTACATCAAATCACAAGTGAGAACACGAATTACTTATGACCATAATCATTTACATGCCTATTTGACAGCTGTATGCAAAGTTTTGCAGTAAATTGGACAATTCTATTTTGATGCATAACTTTTTGTCGACAAATATATATAAACTAATGAACAGATCATATAAGGATTTAGATTTAACTTATTTTTCATATCAATAATTGCAAAAATTTGTTGTATTTGCTCTGATAATTGTCAATTTCACAATTATCAAAAAATTAATCAAAAATTTAATAGTTTAATTCATTCATCACAGAAGACAGTCATATTTTAAAAATATTTCTTGATAGCGACGTTAGCAACAATGAATATGCACAATTTGTTTTGAAAACACATTTAACAGTATTATCATTGTATACATTTGAAATTATTTAAACTTTAAATAATGTAAAGTTTATATTTATGCAAAATGAGCAAAATATTCAAACTTATATTGAGAATTTCAGTGTTTTATTACTTGCTTCAATTAACTGAAAGCTTTCCAGTCGGCAAATTTAAATTTCTGCTAGTGCTGTGGCACTGCAATCTATGGCTATGTCTTGGGCTACTCCATTTTATTTTTGTTGGTGTGTGTGTTTTAGCTGGCAGCACTGGCACAACCATGAGAGGGTACTTAATTAATTAAGGGCATGTCAGGATTTGAACGAATTTCAACATGGGATAAGTTAATATATTTTTTCGTACATAATCGGTTATCCGAAAAATCAATATTCCTAACAACTCCAGTCCCCCAAATGATTCAGATAATTGATGATCTACTGTATTAATTAAGATATCAATGTAACAAACAATTAAGAAATTGTGTTTATTATCAAATTTGACTCAATTTATGTTCTAAAAATGCCATTTGAATCTGCTTTAAGTTTTTAGTCCTGTTAAAAAATTTAGCAAAAAAGTTATAAAGTTAAATAATGGTTAGCAAAATATATAAAATTTTTAAATTTATTAAAATAAATTATACAGTTGTCAGATGTCATTTCACATTGACACCAGAAATAGCACATAGCAGTGAAGTAGCCATATTTGAAACTCATTTTCNAAGGGAAAACAAAACTTTCTAATTATAGATCAATGCAATAGATGAATACAATAATTAATTTAAAAAAATGCCAACTTTAGAAAAATTTTACAATTAATTTTCAAAATATTTAAAAGAAATACTTAATACATCAATAAAATTTCCATATAAAAAAATTTGCTAAATTATGTATAATTTTTGAATATTTACACCATTATACACTTCTGAGAAGTGAAACTACAACATCATGAAGGAATGTGTGTAGCTACATAAAAATTGAAGAACTGGTAGAGATGACAGATATGCAAATGATTAAAAAAAATAAAAAATAATGCATGGTGTTCTTTTGGTAGCAAGTAATGCATCAAATGTACACAAAGTCATTAAAAACAAAAAGGAATAATTTTTCTTGCTTTTTTAATAATACTTTTGTGAATGATTTCAGAATCTTAAGAGTTACTCCTGAGAATCCAAAAAAGAAAAAGAAAAATCTAAAATTCCTGAACAGTCTAGATTTTCAGACTTACTGGATGAACAAAATTTTATGATGAAAAATATATACATTTATAATAAATTTTAAAAACTTTAAATCTTTCTGATGGAATTAATTCTAATTATTTTGTTCTGAAACTACTGTATAGAATGCATTGTATAAATTATTTTTTCAAATATAAATTGCAAAAAACAAAATTAAAGCAACAATAAATATTACACAAAATTTTGATTTTGAATTGAAGAAGATTATTGTTCTAAATATTATGTACCCAATCTGAGAATGATAAAATATGCTTATGATTTATACTATTAATTAGATGAGATCAAGTAAAATTTGAATCAAATTCTAGTGTAGTAGAATCTGCTTATTGTTATCAGTCATTTAATACTGTCAAAATTATCATGTCCCAAAACAATTTAAAATGTACCCAAAAGCATTACTTATTGCAAATAGTTTCAGTTATAGTTATTTTCAAGTAAATAGAAATTTTTAATTTTTTTTTTTTATTTGCATTATCAACTTTAACATGTGGCTAATATGAAATTATTAATTAGTTTAATCAGTTATCATCATTATTAAAGTTCTGATTAATAAAGACAAAATGTTATTTTACTTATTATTTGCTCATAATACAGTAGTTTAAATTTCTGTATTTCTTCATTTCAATTATATACTAAATGAAGTACTGTTAGTAATACTTATGATTAAAAGATGTATAAACAATTTAAATTACTAGATATCACAGTCAATACCCATTAGTTATATTATTACCCCCATTTAACGATAGTTATTATCAGTACAGCAAGTCCCAAAGTGATTGCATTAAGTGAATTCTACTGTATATGTTAATTCCTATTTTATAACAACTACATTCAATTTCAAAATCTGTTATCACTGGATTTAAAATTTCTTTTTCTATTCATAAATAATACTAACAAGGAAAACCTTCCAATCCATACATGAAATAAATGATGTTTCAGGAACTATTCCACGTATTTATTTCTGACAAAAACAAAAAATGAAAAAGTTCATTTCCCCCCCACTTGGAAAGAAAAAGTCAAAATATTCATGACATATACAAACATACAACTACCTTGTCCTATGTAACCAGCTATCCTGTTGGCAAAGTAGTAACAAGGACATATAGTTTTTTCCTCCACCTCTGGTAACTGTGGTTCAAATCCAATTTATAGATAAACCTGTAGATTTTTTCATATATATATTTCAATATATATTCACTGACTAAATGTCAGTTCTTTAAAAATTGAGGTATGGAATTTTGTGAAAGCACAGTCCTGCTTTCACAAAATGATGATGCATTGCTTAGAGTTAATCCAAATTATCAAAATTTTTCTATGTAAGAGTTCGATTGATCAACATTCAAGGAAAAAATTTGTTTTCATACAGAGAGTTAGTGCCTTGGCTTGCCTTGCATTAAAATTATTTATAATTTTCAGTATTCTGAGGTATGGAATTCTATACCTGCAAAAATGTGAGGTATGGAGTCTTCTATACCTTCCATAGTGGAAACAACAGTGTTCACTGATCCGTTTTCTGTGTATATTGGTATGTTTCTAACAGATTTCGGCAAGTTTTGGAAGAAGTTTTTTGACAGAAATATTAGTCATCAAAACTATGGAATTTTCATTAATATTTTTGTTTGATTTTTTGTAGTTGTTTCATCAAAAATTTGACTTTGCACTGAGTTAAGTACAATTTATATGAATTTTAACACTGTTTGAAAATTATAAAAAATTGTACATCCAATGTAACCACCATCAAATTAAATAAAATATTATAAATTATTTTATATCTTTTACAAAAATAAATAAATAAATAAATAAAAAGGTATTGTTTCCACTGCAACAACTAAAAAATCTCAAATTGGTAAAAAAAAAAAAAAAAGAAAACCAACAACCATCTATATCAGTGTTTCCCAACCTTTTTTGTGCCACCTTAGCCTTTCTAAAATTCTTATGCCCCCCAACATATAAGCAGCAGCTATACGGTTAACTTAAACTCTGGATGAGTCCATTTTCGAATTGCCCCCTGAGGGGCATGGGTCCGACATTGGGAAACACTGATCTAAATACTAAGAAACTGCAGAAAACATTAGAAAAATTTAAAAGTATTTTAAAACTATTTTGAACTATGCATACTGCACAGATAAAAAATAAATCACAAGTACTACCATTTCATCATAAGTATGTGCTACTTGTGTATAAAAATGTATGCTGTTATTTTTAATGTCATTTTTTGGCACTTATAGGAGCCAGACACAGAAAAGTCCAGCTTCTCTAAGTGAATCTCATTTTCAGTTTTTCCAGAAAAAACGTACATCCAATAACTCTTAAAATCATCATTAATTTTGTGTATGGATTGGAATAAATTTATTTCATAAATATATGAGCATTCATAATTAAAAATACTCAATCCTATGATAGACAATGAATTCTGTTTTTAGTATTAAAATGAAGTTTTTACTTTTAATTAAATCTGATGTATTGAAATTTTACCTTCATTTTTGATAATTCTTGTCATAACAGAAAGCATTGGTTCCCTTAATCCTTCTATTTGAATTCTTGATTTTACAACATCAGCTGGAAAGATGGAAACCCACAGGGCAATGCCTCCAATTCCACCACAGAAACATATCTCTAAAGGTCCTAATAGAATAAAAATCAATTATTATTATTTATTTTTCTTTTCATTTGTAAATATATTATTTTTAATGTAATCACCTAATTCTTCTTTACTTTTTCCCTTGGGTGTGATAAGAGTTTTACATATTTCATATCCTCCAAAGAAAAAGAAATACCCTGGCATTTCACGAAATATTGTAGATGTTAGACCTCTAAATAGTCCAGGTATTCCTTCATTCTTTACTATTTGTCTTGTCAGTTCCCACGGTCCTCTAAAAAATTAAAAATTTCATATTAAAAATAAAAAATTTTTTAACAACATTAAAATACTTAACAAAAATTAAATATTTAGAAGTATTAAATTTCTTTGATATATCATCTGTTTATTTTAAATCTGATAGCAAGATAAGAAACAAGATGTTTCTGTCAAACTAAGACATTAATTAGCTTGATAAAAAAAAAATATAATTTAAACATTCCCAATAAAAATTTATTAAAGTAGACACTCATATAATGAAAAAAAAAAGGTGTTAATTTACTGCATATTTAACAAAAGGTTAAAAGGATGAAATTCTAGATTTTTGTATCTATGACCAAGTTGTTTTCAAGGTTATATCATCCAGATATGCAGAAGTGTAAAATTATCAAAATAAATTATTATTCTTCCCTTTCATTATTGTAATAAAACTATCTACACAAAACTTTGTAAACTGTAAACAAATAAGACTTATCTAAAACTGCACTTGATTCTCTTAACCTTCTTGATAAACTATTATTTTAGAAACATGGAATATTTTTTAGTTAACTAATGATATTTGAAAAATTTATATACATTTTTTAAGCAAAATTAAAATAAAAATGAATAAGGAAATTCAAAGAATGCAAATTTCTTTAAATCAGCAAATATCTATTGCTCACATTCTTTTATCTTATCAAATATACTCAAATAAGATAATTAGATACAAAGAATACATTTCAACATATTTTATTTATCACAAAAAAAAAAAAAAAGAAAATGGGAGTCAATTCTCTTAAAGTTCAAAATTCTTTTATATATTTATGTCATGGTAACTCTGACACAAATTCCAGGAAATATCTCATGTCAAGTTTCGCAGACAAATTCGAGACAAATTTGGCAGATTGCCTTGACTAAATTGTACTGGTTCCAATATTTTATTCATTCCGTCAGCAAATTTGGTTTGGCTCCAAATTTAACTTATGACAGTTCTTTAAAGTATTAAATCAGTTAAAAGAAAAAAAAAATATCAAAATCATTCTAAAAGAATTGAAGAAAAAAAAATTTCTTACATTTTAATAGGAGGATCAGTTGCACCTTTGATTAAACTCATTTCTCTCATTGCTTGAAGCTTACACTTAATCAATTCAGTAGGACATAGACTAAGTGAAGAGAAAAATGCCGCAAGAGCTCCAGCTGTTGCATTTTCAATAGGATTTAGATCTTCTATTTTATGTTTTTGGACACCATATTGTACTCCTTTCTGACATACACCATAAGCACAAAACAGTACAGAATTCTCTGCTATATTAGCAGCTAAAGCAGGCACCGTTCCTGCATAAAGTCCACGAACACCTTCTTTAACAAATGTTTGCCTGAAACATAGCACACTGTTTGAATATATATGTGGAAATGTCTGCATTTTGACTTTAACTGTATCTAATGGCTGTCCAACTAAAACATTGGCAGTTCCACCTGTACATAAAAAAAAAAAAAAAAATATTATAAAACTATAAAATCTATATCTTTTTATAGAAAAATAATATCAAATCTCAAAATATATTTATTTTAAATTTATCAATTAAAAAATATGAGAAAGAATTTTAACTTTTAATCAAGAAAGATAATCTGATTAATACTGTTTTTAACATACTTATTAATATGAATCAACAATTATTGTTAAAATAATGTTATCATCAATAAATTTATCAATTATTATTCACTCACCTGCAGCTCCTGCTGTAAGATTGATAAAAGAAACGATGTAATGATGAAAAGAGTTAGTCACAGATAAATTTATTTCCGGCGACTGAGTTCTTTCGATCTGTTCCATTCTACTTTTACGTCCTTTAATTAAATAAATATATTATAATTACAAGATGTGTACAATACATAAGAATTAGACTATTGTTTAGAATACGTACTACTATAAATCTGAATTCAACCTAATTTTTATTATTAAATTAGCATTATTTGTAAATAAAAATTTATACAAATCTTTTAATCTTATACAACACTAAATAATGCAATTAAATTTATTAAAATAAATTATACAGTTGTCAGATGTCATTTCACATTGACACCAGAAATAGCACATAGCAGTGAAGTAGCCATATTTGAAACTCATTTTCCATTTAAAAATTATATAGAAGCTTATCAAGTCCTCATTCTCCATAATTAAATCCAAGGCTACGCTACGATCTGATCCAAAAATTGAAAATAATAATTTATGCATAATTACATGCCTTTATAACTATTTTATTCAGCTCAATAACTTTAAATTGCTGTTTTAATACTTAAAATCTGAACAATATGTACTGTACATTTAAATTCGTTTTTAAAAATTAAATCAGACAATTTGTTTATCATTTTAAAATAAAGTGGAAAAATTCATGAAAATAATGCAAAATCTAAAAATTAACACGTAATTGGAACTTCACGAAACAGATTCGAAAATGCACTTGAATAACCTTCCGGCAAACTCCTCGTGCCGAACACGTTGCAAAAAGGTATTTTAAACGGAATAAATCGAAATAAAAATGAATAAATAATAAATAAAAATAAAACTTACTTCTTTCGTAAAAATATTACAGTTTATATAAATTATGATAATAATATTCTCACGTATCAATATAATTCTCACTCGCTTATATATTGTCGGCTTTCCACTTCTCCCTCTTCTTCCTACCGCCATGACGTCGTCGTCCATTTACCATCTTATTGGTTAATTCAAACACACCATGCTTATTTAACTTGACGTCAATGAATAATTATAATTAGATACCGGTAATGCACGTGCGTATTGGAAATGGTTTTTAAGCACGTGCTTTTTCGTAAACATGTTTTTCTTCAAGTTTTTCTTACGTCTTGATACGTTTGTTTATAACTGAACTTATAAATAGTCGTCCCCGATTTAATTTTTCATACAAAAATTTAGGTTTATTTGATTTAAACTTCAATATATATATTTTTTCTTGGTAGCGATGAGAAATCTTGATTTTATTATTTTGAATTTAGAAAAGCGATTATTCTATAAATACTCGTTTATTTAAAATAAAATGAATTTAAACTATTATGATATGAGTTAAGCGATATTCACATTAGCGACCTTGAATTTTCAAGGTTAGTTTTTATGTTGCGATTCTCCGACACATGCCAAGTATGTTACGTATGTTATTTCACAATGAACAAACTGTGTAATCGAAAGCCATTAACATATGAGGTAATAAATGGTAATGGATAGAGCCCTCTATAAACATAGGGCTCTAGTAATGGCATTACATTCGTCATATTTATGAATAAATATTTTTTCTTTCAATTAATACCATATTTTATTTATCAGAACGATTCTTCGATTTTTTAATACAAAGCATCAAGTTAATTTACAAAATTAAACATTTTGTAATAAATAAATGTTTATCACGAAATTTTCAATTAATTTAAACATTTTAATTTAAAAAAAAAAATTATAAAACTACGTTGTAAAATCTCAGAGGGCGCCAGGTGATGTTTTGTTATTAATTTACCACGTGGTGTTTTAGGGGTTAAGTTTGTGCACTTATGTTAAGTTTTAAAGGGAATATGTTAATAATCTTAATTAATATAATTAACAAGCTTAATAATAATGAAATTAAGAGTCTAGAGTTTAATAAGCATTAATTTTATTATTAATTAATTAAATTATGCCCTTATTATATAGTTTAGGGATATATACTGTTAAATTTACAAAATGCCGATACGTTTATTGTGATAATTCTTACAGAAAGACTCATTTTGTGCTTGTAAAACAAGATCATTTGATTCAATTAACTCATAAAAAATTAATATTGACTTCTATATTTGACGTTCCCAAAAAAATATATAATATAGCTAGGATATCAGTAAGATATATTGGTATAATTCTGTTATTCTGTCCTGTTTTATTGCTATATCCTGTATCACGTATAAATTACAGACTTAATAATATTTGGTGGAGTATTGTACTTAATTCATTGAATTTATCTGGACCAGTATTTATTAAACTTGGGCAGTGGGCTAGTACAAGGAGAGATTTGTTTTCGTCTGAAATATGCGATAAATTATCTGTCTTGCAACGCCATACAAATTCTCACCCTTGGTGTTTTACTGCTCGACAACTGAAAGAATCGTTCGGAGATGGGTGGAATGATATTTTCAGTTTTGAAAGTAAAGTTCCTGTTGGTTCTGGTTGTGTTGCACAAGTATACAAAGCTGAAATGAAATGTAACAATATTCCTGTAAATATATTGGAGAAGATTGAAATTCCTAATTCTAAAGGTATGTTTTGTTAAGAAAAAATGGATAATTTCACAAACTGCTTCAAAAAATGCTTAATGATATCATTAATACTATAATCATTACAGTACTTGATAGATTATTAAATTATGTTATAATCAATCTAAAAAATTACAGTATGATTTTAAACTCTGTGATTCTAAAAGGAAGAATAGAAAGGTATAAAATTATTACATTTATTTTCACTAGAAATTTATCACAATTGCAAAGTAACAAAAGTGATTGCTTTGGTATCAAGTGATCCCAAAGCATCCCCCTTGATATGCTCTGTTTAACATTTGTAACATAAATAAAACTAAACTTAGGACAGAAAATATAACTCGTAAATAATAAACAAGTAAAATGGCAAAGCCATTTTTGGGACAAAACTATGTCTTGGAGAGCACAAGCAATGCATGTGCAAATCTTGCACTCGCGCTTGTTTGTAGAAACAGTCTCAACATTTCATATTCTCTTTTGACCCAGTTCTCAGTCCCCTAATTACCTACAAGTCTGGTTTATTTTGTGCCTGTATGATTTGGGCACCAAATACTCTGTGCCAAATTGCAACTCCTGACATACCTTTAAGGTGTGCAGCCATTGACAGCAGCATGATTTTATAGATGAGACATAGTCTCATCAATTATAATATGCCAGAAACTTGCTTATTGTAAAAGTAATTTAGTAGTATCATTGTAATAAAAGTTTAATTATAACAAGGAACAGAATATCATAGATAAAAACATTGAAATAATTTGAACTTACTCAATAGTTATAAAATAACAATTCAGTGTTTTAATCTACTGTTTCCTGCTTTATCTTCAATAAAGTAGATTGAATTTTTCTTCTTAGTGGAAAATGTTTCTTAATTTCATAGAAGTTATCCTGATTTTCAAAACTGTACAATTCAATGATAAGAAATTAATTGAATGATGTGAATTGTAAACTTTCTAATGTGATATAAGACTTTAAATGTCTCAATAAAATGCATATTTTGTTTATCTACAGACTTATTATAATCTGTACATTTTCATTTATAGTAATATTTAAAACACTTAAGTTAATAAGTTATATCATTCATGTGAACTATGTTATTGATTGCAAAATTATATAGTTTAAGAACCTATTATTTTCTCTACCTGTTTTGATAGTATTGGAAATCTAAAATACATAGTGACCATAAGTTTATTCTGAGTCTCATAGAGTGACACCTATTAGCCCAACAAAAACTTGATAGGTACACTAATGAGATGATGCAAAAGATTTTATGAAATAAAAATTTTTAAAAAATTTTACATGAGCTGACTTTACTATGGCATATACAGGTATACCTTGACTTATGTCGTTTTGAGTTACGTCGTTCCCGATTATATGTCGTTTGTCAAAAAAGTATATGGAAAAATAAAAATCAAGTTTAAGTCATTTTATTCGACTTTACGTCTGTCCGCCACAAATATTGAAGTTGTAATATCACTAGAAAAGCATTTAAAGCAGATAAAATCATATTAAAATATATAAATTTACAAGTATGTACTGTATTTACAGTACATGCATTCGTAAATTTATATTACTTTTTTCTGTACTATATTAAAAACTAAAATTTATTTGTTGTAAGCTTAAAATAGATCCTTATTAACAATATATTATTAAAACTGCATTAATAAATAAAATACAGAACCAGGAATAATAATTTATGGTTTAGCCTTGTGACAAGTAGATTCGGAGACAAGTAAATTCAACTTACGTCGCCTCTCCTGGAACCAATTACCGACGTAAGGCGAGGTATACCTGTACCAACAAAATATAGTTTGTCAAGAAGATCACATAGTCTTTGGTGTTAGTCACTGTAGTAAAAATATAAGATGAGTATATCATCTAAAAATTCAAATGTTTGACATTTACAAAGATGCTTCCTCAAGAACTGATTTTTTTTTTTATATGCATACTTTATTCCAAAATCAGTTTCTGAAAGACATCGTCGTAAATGTCATAATGCAGCAACAGTAAAGCATTATAAAAATGTGTTATCATCTGACACTTTGATTCAGCTAATCCAATTTACCATTTTTATTCATGAAAGAGCTCCTTCACACATTGTTATATCTGTAATGGAATTACTTTGAATCCATTTCAAAACTAATAAGATTATAATAATAATAAACAACTGCCAGAGTTCTGGTCACCAAAAAGAATAATCAGAAATGTTTTCAATCAAGACTTAGGTTGACCTCAGCTCACAGAATAAACAGAATAGAATTCACAAAAATGGAATTCTATTTCATTTATTTTGTGAGTTGAAGGTGGCCTAAGTCTTGGTTGTAAACATTTCTGATTAAATATTCTTTTTGGTAACCATAACTTTAGCAGTTGTTTATTGTTGTTATAATGGTGCCAAATTTTGTTAAATTTCATGAAAATGATAGGATTATCAGTTGTTTCTTTTTATCATGGCCACTCCAGTTACCATATTTGAACCTATGCAACTTCTGACTTTGAGTTTCTTAATAGCCAATATCTTTTAAAATGACATTTGTAACTTGACTGATCAAGCATCAGCATCATATGCCATATCACTACATAGCTCATAACAATCTTTGATCAACAGAATGCACATTGGGTAGTTGCTTTCTTAATGCATACAAAATGTTTGATACCTTTTATGGCTATTGGTAACCTTTATTGTCATATGTTTAAACCATATATAAACAACATTTTTTACCTCATAAATGTCTTCCATATCATACCATATATAAGTATACTTACCAAGTTTTACATTTGTCAGTCTAACAAATGTATTATACAAGAGTTAAAGTATGTGAACATTAATTATGTTCACCATGGATACACGAACTTTTGGCTCATACCAAAAATTGTTTAAGTTCACCAATATTTTTGGGAAACAGAAGTACAATTAAAATAAATTTCTGCTGATGTTTAGACAACTGTTCCAGTTCACAATTAGTTTATGGATAATTGTTGTTTAAGAAAGTCTTCAGTTGTTCTCAAAACTATTTTTTTATGTCTTCACATGCATCAAATTATTATTCAATATGAAGTACTTTTCTTTAACTTTCTTCTTCAGAGGTGCAAAGACATGGTAGTCACATTGGGCAAATAAGATGTTTATTCCAATGCTTTCCAGCCAAACTTCCACATTTGTCTTGGAGGATACATGCCCTATTGTGCAAAAAGACAATGCTGAAAGACAGTTTGTATGTGAATCTATCCATTAAGTATTATACATTTATGTCAAATATGTCCCAAGTCTTATAACCAAGTTTGTAAATACTCAAATTTATGAAAAAGTGTACAAACACATTATATCTGTAGATATTATGTATATAGATATATGATCAGCAATGAGAGTAATTATTCATAAACATGTCTTTGTATATTGCTATCTTTATTTAAGTAAAGACAAAGATAATAGCATATTTGTTATACTCTCAGATCAAGAAATTGAAAATGTTATCAATGTCTTTTGTTACTATTATGTTTAAATTTTTATATAAAAGATGTTTCTAAGTGGTTTCTAAAATTATGCATTTCATGTATGACTCCACCAGTGTGTTAACTAGCCTATAAGAGCACCTGTTTCTCTGGCATTTACCAGAATTGCTAGATGGCCAGTCTGGCTTGATCTCAAAAATTATAAATAAAATAATTAACTTTTCAGCATGCACATAGAAGCTTACACTGCAACAGTTTATAATTGGAAATCATTTTCTATGTAAATTTTTATTTTAAAAACTTTGTTATTTTATTATGTTATAGCTTTTTTTCTCATTAAATTTTATGTGTTTATTTTTATAATTAAAATGTTTATCCATTATACAGATTCTATATTTAGTTCATTGAAAGCATATTTTCATAAAGAAAATAAAGAAGAAACTTTTATAAAAGATGAAAAAGTAGTACCAGTAGCTATAAAAGTAAATAAAACAGATACAGTAATTAATACAATTCTTTATCTCAAAAAATAAAAAATAATTATATATTTTTAAAAATTTTCTTTTGTAGGTCCTGCATCCAAATATACATAAAAGATTTCATGAAGATTTATTATTGTTTAAAAGTCTTGCTCAATTAGTTGAATTTGTTCTTCCTTTTTTAAAATGGTTGGATCTCAATGGATGTGTAAAAGAATTCAGTCATTTTATGATTAATCAAGTAAATAATTTAAATTTATTCTCATCATAATCATAGATGTTGAGAATGAAATATTTCATTCTGTTAGTCATTTAAGTTTTATTAATATCAAGATTATAATTAAGAAAAATTAAACATATTGCATGAATTATTATTACACAAAGGTTATTATTTTACAGTTTTTGTTTTCAGTTGAGCAACAAACACACCAAATATGACATTCATGTCATATAAATATTTTTGCAGTGTATTTGAATGCATGTGTATAAATATGTTTTTATTAACTTATATCCTTCTAAGGCAAAAAATAAGTACAATATAGCATTCCTTTTATTTCTTAATATAAGTTAATCAGAATACATTTTCTGTTTTAACTCTACTCACATATTATAAAAATTGTTCATAATTTTGTTTGAGTTTCTATAAATGATTTGTTCAATCATTTATAGGAACATTAGTAATTTCAAAACAATAAATAAAATATTTTATATTTTAATTTATTGTTAATTTACTGAATTAATTTTCAGTTCTAAAATTGTTAATCTTTTTATTTTGCGCACAAATTTTGCTTTGGTGTTAATCAATTTTTGTGTTTTTAAATGTGGGCATGAAACAGTCCTTTTTTCCAAATGCATTGTTTGTATTGGTCAGACCCACAATGCAAGCAACCAGGTGGTGAAGAACAGGACACACCGACCATGAAAAATTCCTGGGGATTTGCTCCCTCAAATTTAATCCTTGGTCCCCCAAAGTGGTAGGCTGATGTCTTAACTACCTAATCCAGCTGTCACTTAATATAAGTTAATAATTGCTGCCAAGAAAACAGATAATGACAAATATGTAAAGGGATAATTGTCAGTCAATTACTTGCCACCAGCCAGCTATATAGTGTGAACCAACCTTAAGTTTTGATTTTAAAACCATAACATTAATCAATATCAAACCTACCTTATGTCTTCCAGCAATACTTTATTAGAAACAAACATTTTTGGTATGCTTCAGGTTCTACATTTTCAAATTGAACCTCAATTTGAAAAATGTTTGTTTATAATAAAGTATTGCTGGAAGATGTAAGGAAGGTGTGATATTGATTAATTTTAAGTTCCAGCTTTGAACAACTCCAAATATAAACACAATAAACATTGATAGCTCACTGGTCAACATAATTTTTGGTACATAGAAGAGAGAAATTGTATCTAATAGAATTTATTGTACTGATTTCAAATATGGGATGTAATATGTTCCTCAGAATGCATTTCTTGGATTCCCACCTGGATTTCTTCCCCAACAATCTTGGTGCTGTCAGTGATGAACACAGGGAGCATTTCCATCAAGACATCTCTATCATGGAATAGAGGTATCAGGGTCAGTGGAATTCAAGAATGCTTGCTGATTACTGTTGGACACTCAAGAGGGATTCTCCAAATGCCAAACAGCAGAAGCTCCACATTTCACCATTTTACACAAGATAAATAAATAAGTGTATGTGTGTTGTCTAAATAAATATATATTACATTTAAACTAGCTGTCACAAAAAACCAGATGTGATGAAGAAAAACTATTTATATATTTGAAAACAGCATAAAAAATTCTGTTAGGATCAGGTTTTCTCATTTGTGTGCCAAAAAAAGCTTTCATTTTGTTCCCCAGTGTAGTTATTTCAAATGATTTATACTTGAAAAGTATGCTTTCACTGCCTCCAAAATTTAAAAAATTTGAAAATCAATTTTTGTTACTTTTAATTCATTACTAATTCAAATTAAAGTTGTTTCAAATTTAAAATATTTTTATATCTCATAAAAATCTCTTTAGTCAAAAACTCAGAATTGACCAAAAAATGTATGCTCCTCCAAAGAACATTTTGACCATATGTATATAATTTTCATTATCTTCATTAAGAGTCTGTCAACTAACCCTGAAATTAGGTTTGAAAGAAGTAATATTACAGATTGAAAAGAAAATTTTTTTAATTATTTACGCTGTTAAATTTTATTATTTCTAAAATGCAAACATTATGAAATTGAAAATTGTGTTAGTTAATGATATACAATCAGAATGATTGAATGTGTGCAAGTTATGTGTTTTCTCATGTTTACAAATTTTCATTTTTTTCATTTAATTCAAAATAATTTATAAATAATTAAACCTCTAATACTTCAAAATGTTATACAGTAAGACCCTGCTTAACGTGGGGGATGCGTTCCTAAATGAAACAGCGTTAAACGGGGTCATTTTAACATAGAGTAAATAGGGATAGGAAAACATGCAACCAAAAATAAACAAATTTTACTTTAATTTTAAGTTATTTTTATATTAATTTGTGTAATAATATATGTTAAATAAACAAACATATGCACACAGAAATGTAAAGTTCATTTTTTGTGATGAAGGTCCTGACTTTTCTGAAATTCTTGTTTTTTGCAATAAAGTTGTGTAGTTTCATTTGTCACTTTTTTTCTTTCCTTAAGCAAATGTCAGTAGCAGAAGATCATATTCAAAATGCCTCATTTTGCTATTCGCTACAATTTGATCAGCGATTTTGGTTATCATTACCAAACTTTTACTAAGGAAATCTGTAGAGAAATTTTTTTGGGTTCTTTGTTTTCAGAATATGTATTTTCCAGTTCTATACGAATTCCTTGTTCTACCAGTTCTTGAAGGTCATCATTGGTAAGGCTCTTACCAGAAACCTGCAGTAACTCCTCAATATCCTACTCGTTACATCTCTTAGTCTTGCTCTGTCGATTAGGTTGACAATTTGATCAACCTAACAATATAGCAACAGGCTTTTCTCGTTGAGAATTCTTGGATACCTTCAGCCATAACTTGTTCCACATTTTCTTCATGCATTTATCAGTTAATTCTTGCCAAGCAAAGTCAATATTGCCTATGGCATCCATGATGTTATATTTTTTCCAAAATTGTACAAAACAAACATAGATTTAAGGAAAGTGCAGCATTACAACTAATTGCCACCTTTTGTTGATTGGTTTGTCTTCGTAAATAATTGTATTATATATGAATCAATGAAATGCTCTGATAATTTAAATCAGCATAATTTTTTTTTTTTTTTAAGGCTTTGAGCAGACCACATCATATCAAATCAGCATTAAGTGGGGTCTTGCTGTACTTTTTAAATTCAAAATTTATTTAAGAATAAATACATTAATATGTATTTTTATTAGATGGATTTGGAACAGGAAGGGAGAATGTTGGACAAATTTTCCAAAAACTTTCAAGGAATTTCTTCAGTAAAATTTCCTCAACCAGTTTGGCCTTATGTTAAAAGAGAAGTTTTAGTAGAAACATGGGAGGTAAAAAGTTATTTGAAAATTTATTAAAATATTACCTTTCTTGTTAATATTCAACATGGAAGGTGCGTTCTATAACCGTGGTCCATTGTAGTCCTCTGATCATGAAAGTAAATGGTTTTGGCCTATCAGACTTCATTAGTTGACAGCCTGTTAGAAATATTTGATTTTAAAATAAAATATAAATCATCAGTATATTATTTTTATCATATCACAAAAATTAATAATGGCCTGATTCTTCTTTTAGTTAGATAACATAAAAAAATCCAAACTAACTTTGAGAAAGGAAAATCTGTAATTTTATTTTATTAAAAGAAAACATCTTAACTCTACTAATTTATGTAGTTGAAGATAATTACTTTGATATCAGAAGCCTATTGCATAATAACTTTACTTTTGCATCCAGAAAATTGCGAGAGATTCAAAGTAAATAAATTTAGGATGTTCTTTATCATTTTTTATATAAATAATAATAATTTAAAAAATTCATATTTTAAAAATTATGTTAATGGTATTAAAATTCAAGAAACAGATTTCTTCCATGACACAAAAGCTTCTTTGATAGATAATTTAATCAAATTTCAAAAGAGTTATGATGTAACTATGATAAAACACATCCAAGTATACTTTTGCAAGAAATCTATGCATAGACTATCTTAATAAAACAAAAACATATAAACAAAAAGCTTGTTAAACATTATTATTATTATTAAAAAGCTTGTTATACATTATTATTATTGATAAAGCAATGAAGCCTTCAAACGTTGAATTAACACTTGCAAATATGCATATATGTATAATATAATAAAGTATTTAACCAACTTTATAAAAATGCATTATTTATATAAGTCATTTCCTTTCATTTTTCAATATTAGAAAAAAACATTTATAAATATATTTATATTTTATTGTAAAAAATAAATCACAAAAAAAAAAACAAAATCCAGATAATATAGCAACTAAAATAGAAAATTGCAAAGTAAGAAGTTTANTACTATAATATAATATACAAACAAAAAACTGTTACTCTAAGATTACAAAATCTGAATTTAAAAATTTTAGTCTGCTAAAATTTAGATTATTCATAACAAATAACAAACTATTTAAATTTACTAGAATTTTTTAAATGATTTACAGACTTTAATATTAAAATGTTACAAATATAAATAAGAATATATGAATTCATATTTCTTTTAGTGAATATTGTATATTATATATAATATTAAGAATGTAACACAAATTGTAACACTTGATTATAAATTAAACACAAATTATAGATTGAATAAGTGTAATAAATTGCAAAGAATTCAAGAAACAAAAATTCTGATAATATCTAATGTCTAACACTAGATTATTCTGAAATTCAGTAGCTCTCATCACTAAAATGATATTTTGATCTGCTATTTATGATATTGCATTTTCATTTTGATTTAATGATGATAAATAAAGCATAAATTAATCATTCATCAATAAATCTTTTTATAGTTATGGTGACTATATGAATACATTATCTCAAAACATTTTTAATTTGTTCTTTTTAATCCTAGTCAATTTTAGTTTTCAGTCATTATGTAAAATTTTTTCAATAAATTCTATTTAGAAGATTCATATTTTAAAAATAAACTGAAATTTTGGTTACAAGCCCTTTTTCAGTTTTTTTACAAAAAATGTAAATATTATCTTAAGTATTATATTTCCAGTGTTTTTTGCCAAATAAAAACATAAAACTTAATTTAAAAAATTTTGGTTTATTCTTAAATGTTTACAAGTATTTCTATGTTTAGTTAAATGCAATATAATTTCATATATAAACTTTTAAAGTATTTGTTTCATATTCTAAAGAACATAAACATGTTGTTATAGAAACATATTCAAAAACCAGTTGTTTGGATAATATACTTGTGTAAAACCTGTAACTAAAGTTTGATTTTCATGTTTAAGAGGTCTCATTTGTTTACAATTTTCCCATATTAGTACAGGATTGGAAATTATTTAATAGAAATTATAATNAGGAGAGAAAGACCAAAAGACAAATAGTAGTGAAAGGTTAAATAGACTTTGTTATGCAAATATTGATCCTTACTTTTCTCAACCTTCCTCACTTCCTTGGGGATAAAAAATTTCCCCGCATTTGGGTCTATAATCCTTTGAGTCCCAACTCAAGCTTTATTTAGTATCCCTTCCAGCATTGCAAGATTTGGCTACCCTATTTTTAGTTTGGCGTAAAAAATATCATTTCGTGCATTGGCTACTTTTTATTTATAAAAATATATTAGTTGAATAAAAATGCACTTTAAAATGATGTTTCGTCGTTTTTTATTAATTAGAGACCCAAATAAAACAAATATTTGTTTTTCAAATAAATTTTTGTCTGTCTCCTTTATAATAAATGAATTTANTATTTATAAATATATTAGTCTAATAAAAATGCACTTTAAAATGGCATTTTGTCATTTTTTTTATTAATTAGAGACCCAAATAAAACAAATATTTGTTTTTCAAATAAATTTTTGTCTGTCTCCTTTATAATAAATGAATTTATCTATTTCTAAGTAAAAATTGAAAGTGTCTGTAAAAGTAATTCTTTAAAATATCCTTTTTTGTGGTAAAGATTTAATACTTATTAATATTCTCTTTCGTGATTACTAAACCATCAAATGTATTTCTTCCGTAAGCAATTCTGCTTGGAAACTGACAGTCTGAATTATGAAATTCCCCAATATGTCCTACAAAAATTTGCATTATTCAGCATTTTGCCAAAATTTCGTAGCACACTATAATCTAGACATGTTAATCCTTAAATATACTTGTATATTTAAGGATTGGCCACAAGTATATTATATATACTTGTGGCCCAAGACTCCTTGACATCTTCCAATGTGGCCCAGAGAAAGAAAAAGGTTGGACACCCCTGCTCTAGATTATAGTATTTCTTTAAAAAATTTACCAATTATGTTTTCATATTATTTAGTAATATATCATTTTATATTTTTGCATTATATTTATTATTTAAACTTAGATTATGTCATAATGAATCTATTCAGAAAGCATTGAATTTGTAATTTTTATTAATTTGATTTATTAAATTTTTTTTAACTGTTTAAATATATATTCTAATTTTCAATATGTATATATTTTAAAATTTAACAAATATTTAGAAATATACTGAGCAGTTTTTTTTTTCTAAAATATTAAAAGATTACTGAAATTATAGGGTTGGCAACTAAGTGATTGTGGATTTTGTCAATAGGTGGCCTTAGCACATTTTTTTGCTTTGTCATCGTGTTCAAAGCATTTAACCTATATTGTTTTCTTGTTGTTTGGACTTCCACCTTTAATTTAGCAAAAAAATTGTATCGATTAGTTATTTAGTTTCGTTTTTATCCCAATTTAAAAATGGAAGAACAAGACGTGCATTTCAGACATATTTTATTGTATTATTTCCGAAAAGGNACATCTCCCGGGTAATAAAATATGGAGAATAAATTTTTCAGATCAGATAATCGGTTTAAAATGAGATTTAATTATTTAATCGGATGCATTATCTCGATTTTTATTATCTCTGATTCAATTTTTTTTATGCAGGGGGAAAAATGGATTTATGAGCCATCTTCTTTAATTAAAAGTAGAAAAAAATATTTTAATTAATTTCTAAAAGTTAAAAATTATATTTTATACTGTTTAAACGGTAAAATAATTAAAATTTAAATTATTTATTAAGCAATTTCTAAGTTTAAACCGAAATTAATTGCAAATTTAAACAGATATTATATAAAAAGTAGGGGTTGTTAGCTAATTTTAACGTTTAAAATACTTATTTTTTTTTCTAAACGGGAATTAATTATAACTCTTTAATTAATTAATTGTTTAACTTATAAAAAAATTTTTTTAAATATATAATTGATTAAATTTCAAAAACAAACAAGAAATTAAGCTTTAAATTAGATTCTAAAGTCAGCATTTTAAAAATTCTTCCGTGTAAAAGAGTGAAAAGTAGTAAAAGTTATTAAAGAATAAATAGCAATTTTTTAACTACTTTTCTATTTTCTACTTTTAGTAACGTCATTCATGCTATTGTTATACTTTTAACGTAAGTTGGAGGTCGGGAAAATACCTTCTAACAATTTCTTTTATAACCTTAAGAATTTCTGACCAAAGGAAACTAGTTAGGAGGCAACACATAATTTTTTTTCTTCCCCCCTCCTTCTTCCTGAAATGTATTAAGAGGCCATAAAACTTGTCAAGGGAAAAATTCGTCGTTGAATGAGGTCGAAAGTCACTAGTAGACGATAATTATGTTAATTATCATTAATTACCTGGGTCGTTTATAGCCTAGGGAAACACATCCTGTCACCTGCACCCTTCCGTACTGTTTCCGCTCCAGATAACACGAATTGGAAAATAATGAAATCATATCTGTTTATTTGTTTATCGAATTCATCTGCATTACCACAAATTTGCGTGTTTGCGGCTTTTAATTAACTAAACCTGTCATTATCATTATCATCTGCACACTCGAAAAGGACGGGGGGGTCGAAACGTAGGAAATGAATTAGCCTTGTTTAAGATTTACTATGGTCTAGTTTATGATTTTCTCCAGCTATCAAAGAGGTCATAAAACTTTCTTTTCGTATATAAATTGCATTCTTTTTTAAAGGATTTCTCACCTGTTTTGTTGTTGTCTCCTTGCAGGATCGATGCTTCAACGTTTTATCATCTCTGCATCAACTTCTCAATGGAAGAAATGAATCCATTTTACATATTTTATAACGTAAATTAGCCCTTTTTGTCAATCGGAATAGGTTATTCGAAGCTTATTTTTGTTTATAATTTGAATTTAATTCGTCCGTTCGTTTGTCTGTGCTTAGTTTTAGGTTAAAAATATATTTTAATTTTTAAGTTTGTCTTGTCAAACTTCTGTTCAAATAGTAAGTGTTCAAATAATAATATGATGAATGTGATTTAATCTGGTTAATTAACCAAGTGATACCCACCTTATCCAA